CTTTTTAAACTTCCAGTTCCCAAATATGAATTTCACATAAAATCCTATCAAAATACAGAGGAGATGGTGACTATAATATGACATAATATGGAAAAGTTTGGTATATGCACTTCTGCACGACCACTGTTCTATTTCTGATCTTCTGTTTATGTTCGTCCTTTTGGCAGCTTTGTTTTGTCCACCACTTTGGACTTTGTTTAGATGGCAGTTTGCTGGCATTCCTTCCCGTGGAGATCATTCTGATGTTTTTCAGAATCTGGGTGGAGTGTTTACGTTCGGCTGATCCTTGCGCTCACCACTACCGTCCAAAAACAAGTGCCTGCATCCGACCAAACCTACAAAACAATCACAACAGGGATCGACACAGTTTTCAGAACCTAAAAGTTATTTTACTATTGAAAAAAAAAAAATCCTTCCAACAATTTGTCATATTTTTAAAATAAAAATAAAATTACATTTAAAAAAATAAAAATGAAAAAATATTAAAGAAATCCAAACTTAAACAGCTAAACGTTAAAGACACTTCTTACAGATAAATCTGTTTTTTCCTGCAAACAACAACAGATACAAAGAGAGCTCAATTAGCCATCATTGTTTAAACACCCACTCAGGAAAAAAAAAACATTCCAGAAAAAAATTTAAATGTGTTATTAACTTGGGGTTAGATCATAAAAGAACAATATGTAAACAGTGCACAATTTAATAAGTAGCTATTTCATGGCCTTTTGAGGGGTTTAGTAGTTAACCAGTTAGCTCTGGGATCAATCAGATAAAACAAATTCGTGCCATGTTTAGTCATGGAAGGGCTTCCTCAAAGAAACCAGCACTACGCAATGCAATTAATGCATAACGGACCAACAGGGGGGCAGGTGGGGAGTGAAGGGGAGAGCAGAGCAGCAGCCACAAGTTAAACAGACTGAGGAGAAAATGAAATGCAGAGAACAGAGAGGACTGACAGAAACTCAGAGATCCTCTGAGCCCAGACAGACTGCCTCTGGTGACAGTTTGGTGTTTTGATGTGTGACAGATGGTGGATTTAATCCTGAAATTTATTTTTAGCATGTTTTGGCTGTATACTGATTATGACATTCAGAGTTTTGCATGAGGTTGGCAAAATTCTGACCTTAATTGTGGATTTTAGTGCAGTTTTCAAAAGAAAAAAGGATTCAGGAAGTATATATATCTACTTTTTTTCTGCTTTTTTCATTATGTTCATGAATCGAGATCCAGGTACTTCTCTAGTCCTCGATGTGCATTTTGCATTTCATGCAGCTTTACCCTTGAAATCAGGTTGAACATTTGTTTCCAGAAATGAAGTGTAGAATAATCATTAGTGACCTTTTTCACACCGATGACATTTCACATATGCCAGTCCACAGGAGATCATGTCAGTGGGACTCATGTCTGCCAATCAGTCTCAAGGTCTCAGCACATTAACTGTCTGGATCCAATTAAGAATTGTTATGTTATTAAACTCCATCACTTTACAGCTAAATTTGTCACACAGCTTTTGCTAATCTTTTTCTGCCTTAATTTCCTGCAGCAGCAGCAGAAATGTTTTCCCCCATAAATATGCAGGTTCATTGCCAAATACTTCATCTGACAAGAACAAGCTTGTGAGGCTTGAAAAATACCTAAAATCATTAGAAAACATGGGAAAATATTTTTTCGAAGCTGCAAATAATAGTTTCACTTTGATGTTTTTGAACATCCAGCTTCCTGAAAAGTGTTGTACCTGAGTATCTGGGAACATTTTGTCTTGTCAGACATTAGACAACTCTTACCCTGTGTGTTGTGAACAAACTGAAGTGATGAGATGAAAGTGGAAGAGCCAATTTGTCTTACTTCCTCAGTTTGCATCAGTACCAGTCCTACGACATACTGTCAGACTCCAAGGAGTTTTAAGATGTGAAAACGTATCTGACACAGACAGACTCCTGCTGGGAGTGAGTGGGAGCAGAGGAAGTTTGGACCTGATTTCTCTGACATTCTTCTCATATGAAGACAGTGCTGTTTTCTGCGGGTTTGGGCCCGCAGAAAAATCCCTGGAATTACATTTGATCTAACATTTATTCCTTTCTTGTTTTGATTGGATGTGCCAGGAAGAGGAAATGATGCATGCACACTTGATACCTTTAACTAAGACAAGATTATTTCTCTCCGTTGTCTCATATATTCCAAACACAGCTATAACCCTCCAGACAGGAACAATGACAGATCTGCCGGAAATTCTCTTTAGTACTTCTTGTTTTCAGAGTCACCGTGGCTAAATGTGTGGATTTATAGAAATCTGAAAGTTGCTCGGTTTGCATCCCACCACCTGAACAGTTTCAGCTCTCTCTTGCTGCTTGGGCAACCTCTACATGTCAGTGTATGGATGTGTGTGTTCGTTCAAGTGCATTTAAATATAGCTGCAATGTTTAGCTTCAAAACAAAGCGCTGGACAACTTGAAGGAGAAAAGGAAGGCATTTTGAAAGATGTGCAAATCACAAATCAATAAATCAATCATGTTTGGAGTAAGAAGAAAATCCCACCAAACGGAATAAAAATAAGAACCATCCATTTCTGGTGAAATAAAATAATGATCTGTATTTTTTATTTTTTTGAAAGGAGCGACATTAACAAGCTGATTGATATACTGATTAAACCATCCATCCATTATCTTACACATTTATCCCTAGTGGAGTCGCAAGGGGTTCTGGTGCCTCCCTCCATCGGTGAACGGGCGAGAGGCGGGGTACACCTGGTCAGGCCACCAGTCCATCCCAGAGCAACACGGCGAATGTAAATAAAAACATCTACTTTCTGTGTGTGTGTGTTCAAAGTACAGCAATTCAAAATTCAATAAAATATGACCAAAATGATCAGTTATTATTATTGTGGAATGACCAAGACAAACATAAAAAAATAACCCAGTTCTACTGACCCACTCGGTTTGCGTCCCACCACCTGGACCGTCCATCTGCACTGACAAGATGGCACCCAGGATGAAAACACTGAATGTGACTATTTCTGACTAAAAAACAGAATATCATCGAGGCTGTCTAAACATTAAATAAATCTGTCTGTGCACACTCGGTGTGCCAAGAAAATCCTTCTATTCATCTGTCCATTCACTTAGGTCCTTGACAGATCTACAGACAATATGCTCTGTTTTCTGCTTTTCTCCATATTTAAATTATAAGCCTTGAACTGAATTCTCCGCCCTGACTAAAACAAAGGCCACCCAGATTTAATTATCACCAGCCCCATCATAGGAGATAATGATGACTAATAGGCGGCCAGGTGCAGATATCTATCTTATCTGCTCATTGGTGGTTTGGAGATAAAAACAGATTATTATATAATAATGAGTCACTCGTCAGTTTAACAGTGTGGCATCTGTCCATCTGTGTGCGTCTTATGGACACGAGTCTCCTCAGTGTTTTTGAGTGTGTGTGTCTTTAGTAAAAGTTCCCAAGATATGGTGAAAGGCAGCTTCTTTTCAAAGCTCTCATTCAGCACCTTGCATCAAATGAGGATAGAAGTAAATTCATCTTTCTTCCCAACAGCTGACAGACAGCACAGAGTAAAGAACCATCCCAGAAGTTGAGCTGATTGGCTGGAAAATTATCTCTTCCAACCTTCCCCAAATGTCCAAGCTAACACAATACCTTTGAAAAGCATTCACGCCCCTAAAGCTTTGACCAGTCTTGCCATGTTTCAACTGCAAACACCACTGCTGACAAGAAACATGGCAGCAATGAGGAGGTTTTTTTCTGCTGAATCTGATAAGAGTTTCGGTGAACATGGAAGGAGCTAAATCCAGGGTAATCTTTAAAGAAAGTCTGATCAAAGATGCATGAATTCAAAGAGGTCATGGTCCTTGTGGTAGGACTGTGACATAACCATTTCCAACACCGCAATAGTTGTTTTGGTGGAGAAATATTCATAAGTCAAGTTACGAGTTATGAATCAGAATTTGGAGAATTTGTGGCAGTCTTTGAAAATTGCTCCTACTTGTTGCAGTAACTTCATCAACAGGCAGCTGGATGATGATGAACACTGACTCCTGTTGTAAGATTGTGACCACTGTTTTATCTCAGCAAACGTAAGGCAGCAATGACAGGATGAAAACAGACTCAAAGCCAGCAGAGCTTGGAGTGTCTGAAATGGTCTAGTTTAAAATAAAAAGGTTAGACTGACCAGGAAGACGCTCCAGCTTTTAGAGTTCCTTCACCTTCTACTAAAATGACAAAGACTCATTTTTCAACTCCTGACCTTGGACACATCATCCCAAATTACTGTCAGATTCTGCTGTTAACAATAAGAGCTTCAGATTTCTATTTGAAATCCTTGGTCATTTTAAACACAAACTTTTACTTTGCTTTGTTTTGATTTCTGACAACAAAAGTCACTTTGAAAGAACTGAAGCTAAATCAAAGAAGCATGTGAGCATTACAGAGAAATGTCTAACAGAGAGAAACCGAATCAGTCCAGTTGGTTCACACATGTGACTGTGATAGTGCATAGTTCTGTTGTGTAGTTCACACACTGAACTACACAAGCTGTTACACGTGAATCAGGGAACGAGGAAGACAGCCTTGAACTCTGCACACTGATGCCATTTTATCACCCCTTCCTTTCCCCTTCAGCAGACTTTCAGAGCCAATGAATGGCTGCATTATCCCGATGGTTGTGCGATAGTTGCAGAGGCAGACAAAAAGAGAGTGAGGAACTAAATGAGGAATAAATATAACGTTTTGAGTCTATTTTAAGGTATTCCACTTGTAAAATTGACAAAGAGAAACCGGAGCAGCAGTTTGAAACTATTTAATCCACTCAACAAGTTTGTTGATGGCACCAAAACCGAGTAAAGAATGCGAGACTCAACTCAATGTGCCCATATGATGGGAGTGAAGAGTTATAAGTTCAGAGTACTCATTGTTTCCTTAAGGCATCACTTCACCACCATTAATTTGACAATTCAGACATTCCGATTTGTTTCACAATCCTTTAATGCAAGAGACTCAGTAGCGTATCTGCTTCAGCAGCTGAAAGAGGTTTCTGGCACGTTCTGCCCGATAGTGAGGGGAATGATGCAGCGGCAGCTCGAAGAAGGAAAACGTGAAGCTTCGAGAGAAGCTGAGCTCGGTGATTGGATTCAGCGGTGGCAGGCGTGGAAGGCTGGGAACCTGGTACTGAGGTATGACCCTGCTTCTCGCCGGCAGCCTTCTGCCCACTCCACCTACAACACAAAATAACAGACAATTTAAAAGAAAAAAAACGTTCAAGTCACATTGATCACATCCTTCTGTTAATACGTGCGAGACACGGCATATCGACCAAGGTACTGAGACTTTTCATGCTTTCTGGCGAAGCTACAAACGCTTCACCAGAAAGCTGCTCACAAATTTTTTATTCAGCTTAGTCCAAACATACTTTATTGATCCCAGAGGGAAATTAGTGCCTTTAGGAACTTTGATGCTTAAAGGCATATTTTTCTTATCAATGAAAAGAAAGGAAATCAATTATTCTTTAGCAACAGTCTGGCATCACACCTCTGTTGTTCCGAGGTACCAGCAGGCACGGAGAGGAGATTTCAGAGCTGAAACCTGAACACAGACATTCATCGTTTTCCTCCTCCTCCTCATGAGGATTGGTGACCGTCGGCGGAGGACCGGGTGAGAGGGATGGGGGTCTTGTTGGTGGAATTGCTGGGGGGCTTATGGTAAAGGAGGATTCAGAGTGAGCAAGGCCACCCCACGGTGTCACGTTGTCTGAGAGGAGGATGGAGGAAGGTCCTGGGGGATGCTGAGAGGAGGACAAAGTCTGGGGCTGCCGGTTGGGTTTCTTGCGATTTGTGAGGTGTGGTTGCTGGAGAGCAGTGGAACTAAAGGGAGGTGGGCCTGTACATGTTTGCACAGAAAAACAGAAAAGAAAGAAATACTTTTAAAATCAATCCTTGAAGAGGTTACCTGCATCACGTGCTTTTTCCTCTGCATTTCATTTCTGCCAGAGTTTCAGCAGGAATCGCAAGAATGTTACAATTAAAATCCATCTCACCACTTTCAAGAAATTACTGTATAATCAACATCATCCAGTAATTTATAAATAACAGATGTTGGTGCTGGATATATGATGAGTTATGATTTAAACCCCTAATTAGATCTGAAATGAAACCTTTCCTTAAAAGAAACAGTAGCAGCACTGTGTTCATTTTTATGAGACTGTTGCTGTGAGGCTCGTATTAGATTGTTAGATCCACAGTCTAGAGCTGAAGGTCCTGCTCTTTGTTGAAATCTCAGTATATAAAGTTGTTACCTTTTCTCCTCCCAGGTGAAGCAATGAGAGCCATTCGTTTGCGAGGCATCATAAATCTGGGAGCCAGAAAGCAAAATTCAGTATCACTTTCCAAAGCCATGAGAGGTTTTCTTGAAAACATGTCATCGATTTGCGCTCCATCATTACTGACATAACAGACAGAAAGAGTTCACAGGCATCAAGGTTGTAAAGTTTAAATTGTATTAATTTGTCACACTGTGTTCTTAGTTGAAATATGCAGCATTGTGAGGTACAACACTGTTTTGTTCTCTTGATTTGTGGATAATGGCTCTTTAAATGAAAATGAAAAAAAAATAAAATAAAAATGAAGTTAATCAGATTCTCTCTGGGATTTACTTTTGTGGGAAAAAATATTTCAGTTTTGATAGGTTTTTTTCTATTAATGAATGATACATTTTCATATCTGCATTCTATCTGATATTACAATTTGTTTAATAATATCTGAAAATGAAGTAAAAAAAAAAGAAAAAAAGAGAAAAACCAGTCAGGGCTCATGTTGTTTTCCACAGCGCTGTTGTTCCAGCTTTATGTCATGAATATTCTCCCATAAAACACTTCAATCTGTTTGCAGCAGTCTGCATGAGCATGTTGACATTTTTGTGCACAAGATGCTCTTTAAAATCGTTGCAGTTTTGCTCTCTGGGCTTCCAATGTTTTTCTGGGGAGAAATGAAAAGCTGGGAGATGAGGAACGGCTATCCTGAAACCATCCTGATAGTGAAAACAAATGTACTTTTGTAGCGTTGACATTTCTGAGATGGACATTGGGACTAAGGTTAAATAGAGGACACAGCCAGAGACAGTGATAGGAGCTTCTGAGTGTTTACGTGTGTGTGCGTGTGTGTGTGTGTGTGTGTGTGTGTGTGTGTGTGTACCTCTTTAAATGATGCAAAATGTCGCTCGTTCTCCACTTTTGACAGCTGCGCTCTTATGCCTCGCTCTCATGGGTGATGCAAAACATCCTTCACGGGAACAGTTCCCCTACTGGCACTTCATCACTACAGATGGTGATGATTTCTCCGGCTCTATTCCATAAGTTATTTCTTCTCTCCACACATGTTGGAAGGCTGAAAAAGGACTACACAACACAGCCTTCTCCTAAGCCACAAAACGAAAAACAAACACAAATCCAGTCCTGGGCAAGCATCGTCCTCTGCATCTAGTCCCAAAATGTCTTGTTGATGTTTTTTTTTTACTTCCTCTATTTTGATGCAGCTTCCAGAAAAACAACTGGAACTTTCAGTGCAGCAGGAAACTTCTCTACATCGACCTCTCTCTTCTTAATGTCACGTTTATGTTTTCAGTACCCCACTTCCTCACTCTTCTCCCATCCTTTCTATACTTTATGTATGATAGAGCAGAAAACAAAAGGCGCCAAAGGAAACCGGATCCAAGGAGCTTTCATCAACTTCCTCTTCATGTCCCTCCTCCTCTAGAACCCCTTGGCCCCATTTTCTCCTCTTTCATTCCGAGTGCAGGTTAGTGAGATGGGCACGAGACAAAAAGTAATTTGAGATCAGAATAAAATATTCATATATTCATGAATACCTGCAGCCTGTCTGCTCTAACCTCAGTAAAGCCCCCCCATGCATGCAGATAAAGTGGCATGCAAATCGGTATGTACCGGGGCTCCAGAGGTTAAAACTTCTTATCAAGAGCTGCCAAATGAATTAAAGGGCACGTACTGTAACTTTTCCTCTTCAGTTGTGTTTTGTTTTATAGCTTGCTGCAGTTCTTTCATTTCAAAGTCTAAAATTGAGTAAGAGGTAAAAAAAAAAAAAAAATGGCCGGTCACAAAACAGTTGCAAAAACAACCAAAAGATGAAGTGGATTATTTATGATTGGAAACATCTGGACACCAATGTTTGACAGGATGCTTCACTTCACAAAAGAAGTGAAGCAATTTCTCTAGTTTCAGTTTTAGTTCACAAAGTGAAAATGTACATAATGTTTCAATTGAGGAAGAGGAATTCAGGAGGTCAGAGGTATGGAGACATAACAAACCGACACCTTTAAAAAAGATTTAAAAGCATTCTATCCCAGGCCCAGTCTGTTGATAATTCAACACACTGAGACAAGAACTGTAGCTTGAAACACAGCATTCACATTGGTGTAGTTTCTGCTCCAGTTCTGACTAGCATTGTTGTTCCAGTGTAAAACAGGCATGTGTCACAATCCTCCTGACGCTCTATAATAGCCTAACCATAGAATGATTGTCTACATTTTGCGTATGAAGGTTTAACAACATTTCTGCTCTTGAGGCAGGTTTTGTCTGCTCTTGAGGCAGGTTTTGTCACCACCAGCTAACGCTATGCATGTAAGAGATGGAAGAAAAGTAAAAATACTGACATATTGTCGATCTACAACTGCAGTCAGACAATCTCTAATTTTATTTCCACGTTTAGGCATGGAAAAAATCTGTACCGTTCAACCACACAATCTGTAAGTCAAAGGAATACAGCAATGGCTGTATAAGATTTTCACCCTGGTGAATCTTCACAGAGGTCGCTGTTGCAGTGTCGTATCTGTTATAACACGATTTTTTTTGTTGTTGTTGAAAATTTAGTGGTGCAAAACAAATACATGGCAAGTTAGTATATCGTAATTAACTTTTGAGGAATATTTAGAAGCTAGCAATGCTGTTTTTCACGTGATGACCTCAAGTTCAGCTTGTCAACAACCCTAGAACTGCTTTGCTTTCCAGAAGATCAAGCAGGGAAACAGTTGAGTGGAGCTTTATTAATAATTCATAAACTAGTTTATGCTATGCTGTTGTTGGTGAGGTTAAGGAAGATGTCCTCTCTATATTTTGCACTCTTATGTGCCTGCAAAACCAGTTATGACACCACAAAATATCCACTGTAAAACTGCACAGTTTGAAATTCCTAGCAGATGACTTTAAGTTACCGTATGCCTACGTTCACCCGCTTATCAACAGGCTTCGACTTTTAGCATGACGCACACGAACAAGGTTCAAGCTGTCTCACACCTCATGTGACGCAGCTACGTTTACATACTAAGACGCACGGATACAAGATATATGCAAAAGTCTGGTTTTAATATCACAAATTAGAAGAATCCTAACACAACACAGTTCATCTCCTGGTTTGTGTTTCATCTCCTAACACAAACTAGGAGAAAAAAAAAAAACTAAACAAGAGTTTACTTAAGAGACTAAGAAATAAACATGAGTTTTTTGAGTTTTCATTAGTTGTGCAGGACATGTCACTGCTTGCTTTTGGTATTTTAATATCAGGAATGGATGGATGATGCATTTCTGTGTGCAATTCCAAGGGAACTGCATGTTTTCTAACACTTAAATAGAGTAGAGTAGCTATACACAGAACGCATCTGTCATACTTCATTATACTAAACACTTTGGATACTCACTATAAGCAGGTCTGGGTTTGTTTTAATTAGGACTAAACACAATCCCAGAACAGCCATAAATGAACAATCTGGCATCATTCTCTAGAGCATACCACAAACGGGCCAAGATACATTTTAATATGAATTTAAAAACAGCCAGAACATTTTGAAGCAGCTCTTGATGAGAAATTTTTGTTGTGCTTATTACTGAAAGCAAAGGGACCACTTGGAGCACAAACCACATTTTAAAAATTAGACTTACTGGCAAAAATCCAAACCGTTCAGGCTTTTGTAATAAAACCAGTTATGGAAAACTAAAATGACTAGGATTTTTAATCAAATTCAAATCTAAATCATACTTTCAAAGACAACTAGTCTCAAAATTGATAGAAGGATCTGATTAGAGCCAACATTTAGCATATGCATATAACATAAGCTTTATTATTTACAGGTGAGCCTCATAATAATCGAATGCTTCATGCCTAATTTCAAACATTTGTCAACTTTCCACATGAAAACAGGGTTAAAATTCTTCAAGAAAATTCTGCCAGCTGATGTATGGTTACAATGTTTGCAGCAGAGCAAGACAACAAAAAGTGCTACTATCTGCTGGACATGCTTGTCATGAAGGAGTTTAATCATTTTAGGAACAAATTGTCTTTCATTTGATAAAACCTTGTATTATTAATCGTCAAATCATTTTTGCTGAGCTGTACAAACTGTAATGTATTTGCGTTGATTCTGTTAAAACTGTTTCTAAAACAGATTCCCATCATCTCCACTCATCCACAAACAACCCATTGCTTTTGTAGCAAAAAAGTAACGCACAAGAAATCTGGAAAATTGGTGACTTTTAATTAAAAACAATTTGATTTATAAGAGATCAGTCAAGATAAACATATCAGCAAAAGTCTTTTAAAAATAAATTATGGGCCGCTTTGATCCTCTGACGTGGAAAAAGAAGTTACTTTTTGTTTTTCCACGTCTCTGCATCCATCCCAGTGTTCCTGAGTCGCAGAAGCTGGAGGCCCTGGCCGCAGACAAGGCTCCATCCCACCTTCGCCGTCTTCTTCCTGTCCTCACAGGAAGCTGTGTTGGTGTCTCCAGTCACCGCTGGATTCCTTTGATCATCGGTTGTCTCTTCCTCTTCGCTGGTCTTACAAACTGGGTCAACTATTTCCTCCAAAACTGCATTCGCCCGCTGAGTCTCAGACCCCATCATTTCATCCACTTCTTCCTCCTCCTCCCACACAGCGAGCCCCGTGGCATCTGCAACGTGGGAGCACAGCGCCCCATTGTGGCTGATGCCGGTACCGCTGACTCTCCACAGACAAACCCTCTGATCAGAGGAGGTGGAGACCAGGAGGCCGGGGCTCAGGAGCTTCAGGGCGGTGAGGGAGGCAGCATGGGCCAGCGGGATGCTGAACTGGGAGTGCAGACGAAGCTGAAACTGGTTGGAAGGATTATCCTGTGCGGCATGATCGTCACTTATCTGAGAAAACCCCTGGCTCCCTGCGAGCTCCCTGTCTTCTGGGTGCTGCGCCCTCACTGTGGACACCGTCAGCTGCCCGTCATCTCCTCCACTCGCAACTGTTACCAGGCAACCGTCCTCTTGTCCCAGTTTCTCCACCCAAACAGCCAATGAGTTGATGCCGCTCTGGTGGGCGGGGATGATGAGGCAGGGGGTCGGCGGGGCTGTGGTGCCACTTGAATTCTGGTTCAGTACGGACAGACTTTCAGTCAAACGCCACACTGCGATATTTCCGTCTGTGGCTGCGCTGAACAGGAGCCTGGACCTGTGGGAGAGAAACGCATTCCTACATCACGGCTAAAAGGGTCTAAAACAGCTTCTTTTTTTGTCAAAGTGGAACAATTATACATGACATTTATATATTTACACATTCAGGGGGATTACTGTTGGAAAACTCAAGCCTGGAGAGAGAACATGCAAACTTCAAATAGAACAGGCCCAGCTACGATTTGGATCAAAGAAATTTCAGTGACATATTTTGATGGGGTGTGCATGAGACTGATAAGACACAGTCATAAATATGATGTAACACCTGTTATGATTACGAAGAAGTCGTTATGAGTGTCATTCGGTAATTAATGACAACTTTAATAGAGAATTGCTTTAGAAGCTGCATCTAAAGTCCATTAAAAGTGCCAACTTTGCATTATTTGGTAAAAAGGCCCATGTTAACAGGGTTTCATTGATGACAGTGGTGCTAGTACCAGTGTATTTCAGTTCATTATCTTTTTATCGGAAACAATTCAATTCTACCGCTGAGACTTGATCACCTGTTGTCTTTGTAAACCTGCAGGCTGCAAGTGGCGACACAGAGAACACAGCGCTGGTGGTAAAACGTCTCCCACAGCAGGTTGATCTGATTTTCACCTTCATTGACAGAAAACAATCTGGAGAAACAGCAACAAAATAATAGCAAAAAGTTGATACAGATAGTTGGTTGGTTTTATTCTAATTGTATGTGATTTTTCTGCAAAAGCAGAATAACCTGCAGGGTTCCCACTTCCAAAAAGATTACAGCATTCAAAACTTTTCCAGGTTCAAATGATCACATCCAAAATGTTTGTTTCTCATGTTTTCCTGGGAAAATTATTCAAACTACATATCTGCTAGTCCAAACACTGCAAGACGCTATTTACTCTCTTGACCAAGTAAAGACACCACACCGTCTGGCAGTCAACATCAACACGTTCTGAAACATTACAGCACTTAAAAAATCTTCAGCCACCAGACTAACCTGAGTGCCCCGTCACTGCAGGACAGAGCCACGAAGACGCAGCCCGTCTCTTCCTGCAGAACCTCTATGGACATGTACCTGGAGAAGGCCAAACCCAAGAGGACAAACTTTATCCAGAACAACAAATCTGAAGAACAAATCCATTCATTTTCATTTGCCTGAACACATTTCAGCCCACATCTTCTGA